TCGACAGTTGCGGAATGGATATGATTTTTGTAAGTTGAGTGATCCACCCCAGTATACAATTTTCAGGCAAATCAATGAATTTAGCCCCGTAGCGTTTTCCTAATATGAAAGCCTACCGTAGGAAATGGCTAGGACTTTCGTAACCAGCATAGTCAATTGCCCTATGCATTTGGCGAATTCCGGATTTATTACAGATCAAGAAAACTAAGATGTCAATCAAGTTTCTCACATTTTTCAAAGCTACGAGTCTCTAATACAATGAACGAGTCTAACTACAGAGATAGAACGATTCAATAAGGAAAGATCGGTGGAATAAAATATTACCTAAATCGCAATTCCGGGAATTTCGCTAGACGATCTGTTGGTAGAACAATAGCTTCCTTCTCTATAATTTCCATCATAGCTGAACCATCCCCCGCACTAACGTGGACAACCTTCGATGAAAAGTGAGATATAACGAGAGTAATATTAGCAAGAAGATCCTAAAACGGTCATTTTTTCATCAGACAACAGCAATACATAAAACTTACACTTGATCGTGAATTTGCCTTGAGATTCAAACTCTTTTCAACAAAAATAAAACGTTTATACCTGGAACATGGGATGCTGCTGATAGGAATCAAATAAGTTGCGATGATATAACAGAGTATAGATGAGGTGAGGATTATTGCGAAGGTTGCCACACAGCGCACTGTTGATGATCTCAAGCAAAGTTCGGATACCTTCCTCGAGAGCAGTGACATCATCGTGCTATAACAGAATGATTTCGATCACACAAATGCACAGCCAAACGTAATGCTTACGTATTCAAGTGACTGGCCTTCGTTAGATTCCGATGCCAAACGCATATGTTCTACCATTTTCACATGACGCTTGCTCAACAGCTGGAACATAAACGAGTGCAATCTATTCATTAATTCTGAATAAATTACCTCTAATAGAGCAATGATCTTCTGGCACACAATTGGAGAAAGGTTTTTAAAGCATGACGACATATTAGCAAGAGCTGCTAGACAATTTGTGTGCAGGTAACGGTCCTAGAAGATAAATTAAGATGTTCACAAAACTTGACAGTAGATGAAGTTTGATGGAAAAATACTCCAACAGGAAAGGTACTTTAAAAATTTGAGTCATGAGTCACGAAAAAATGCTAGGCGGCACAAACGGGAACTCTGTCATATAGGAAGAATTAGAGGGTTACGTCAAAAAAAAGGGTCGCAAAATATTCAGTTAATGATTAAGCCGGAGTTGAGCTCGTGCTCAGTACACGCGAGTCGTAAGGAGGAATAAAATCGAGAATTTCAACTACAGTTAAAGCAAATAAAAAACTTACGAATGAGTTCCATTCACTAGGATATAAGAATAATTTTGGGGAGCCAACTTTGAATTTCTGATGTCTGATGACAAGAGCATCTCGACAAAAAACGCATGTTTTTCTCTCGAAAAAGGAGATAGACAGAAACGGACATGGACAGACACAGTCTCAGTCTGAGAAGTCGTGTCTGAATGGCGCGGGGGTTAAGGATCTTCGCGAAAGACGCAGAGAAAAATTTATGGCTCCTCCAGTCCTTTCAGTCAGAGCTAAAATAATGTAAATAAGAGGACAACTTTAGTTTTGTACTAAGAGTTCAGCAATAAGCAATATTGGCTAGTCAATGGTAAAACTTAAGCATTCCAAATAATCAGTAATAGCAGCTTTAGATAATTGTTCAGTAAACTACTTAGCTGTTGTATGCACAAGTAGGCATATCAACCATTTCCATTACTCACTCTCATTCGAATGGCATTCTTATGTATAGTTCGCACGAACACCAGCACGCAAAGCCCTCCTAACGATATCTCTTTAATTGGATGGTCACTTTCCAGCCAGTCAACATCATGGATCATCTGAAATACAACTACGTCGAAAATACCTGAGGACATTGCCATATTCCCTAAACGAGAACCATGATGGTAAGAGGTGTACCGTTTCGTGTATGATTTTGCAGAAGAAATCATCCTCGCTCAAAATCAGCATAACAATAAGGGCGAGGTACATGTGGTGTGAGTTTGAAGAGGATGAAGCAACACCCTCGTAAAGAATTTTTATCACTGGCAATACCTATAAATCAAATTAAGAGTTTGTTAGAACTTTAATGTAGAAAAGGGAACAACGAATCATTTGAAAAATCAAAATACTTGAAAAGAATCCACAAACGGCTTGGAAGGCTTATAATAAGTAGCATAAAAGAAACCCACCAGATTTTCAAGGTTTATCCGCGACAACACAAAATTTCTGAAACCACAATTACGGTGGAGTAAAAGATATAACAGTAACATGGGAGGTTCCTGACGAGCGGTAGCACAGAGCCTTTCGTAGAGTGCATTATAATCCAATTTAAATGTGATTTTATCATTAGTGAGACTAG